AAACATTTTATTCTCTATTTTTATTCGTGGCTTAAATGTGGTTTGCATTTCTCTGCCTTATGTAAAATACTTTGAACTGGCTCTTCCTCTTGAAAGGTGCTTCACAAAGTACCCTGCCAATATGAGCTGAGAATACAGAATCACTGAATGTGTTTGAGCTGTTTTCTTTCTTTTGTAGCAGACTTAGCTAGAGGTCAGTCAAATGGAATTTCAGCACATATCTACAGTAGTTAGATTTTGTAACTACTTTCCATCATGCACTCATGATGAAACTGTATAGTTTAATGCATCATGGTTGATACATTGATCAATAGATCTGTTGAATTTTACGTTCATTTTATACTCAATATATAACAATATATACTCACTCACTACATGAACTCTACATAATAGCATGCCACACTGACATATAACAACAAAGATTAACACATTTTTTAGAACATGATACTTAATTGTCTAACAGTGCAGTACTGAAATTGTCTGTAATACAACCCAGCCAAATACTGAGATCATTTCTGTAGTAATAGTTGGTGGCACTGAATGCAGCATGATATCTGAGCATTGTTGGACCTGACAGCTCGTGCAATCAACTAGGTCAATACATACTCACGGAGTGGAGTGACATTAATAGAAAGTGAAGATGCTTCAGATTGTGCATACCTTTGATGCATTGTTACTCTTTCCTCTCAGCTGTATTCACAGCCCTAACACAGTGTAAATAAACAAAGTGGAACACTTTAACGGAGACATGCATATGTATGAGATGTAAAATTATTTGATCCCTTTGAGTGTTTCCTTGTCAACTCTCAAAAGCAGCACACAAGTGCTTTTTTGTTTTTGTTTTTTGTGTGTGTTTTCTACAACAAAAGTTTCCTTCTCTCTTGTCACAGGTGCCATCTCATTAGTGGTAAATCACTAAGCTGACATTTATGTTGTACCGAGTCACACAGCATCTCTTTTCAGTGGAAGTCTGATATCACAGCGAAGCAATGCACTGTTTGTTCAGGAGGCTACGAGAGATTTCACACACAGAAGTCATTCTGCATACAGTTTAGTGCCTGTGATTGGGGTTGTAGGGTGACAAATTGAAAGTGTGACAGGAATGTCTTGTGAGAGCTGAAAACAATATTTTACATCCTAATATTAGAAGCCACCCCAAATATAAATATGGGAGAAGCCAAGTATGCAATTGATGTTTATTGTGATTACACACCTAATAACATTCTTCCTCCTGGTGCTAATCTGATCACAATGAAAAGCCTGAAATGAAAAGCAAGTTACTCTCAACTCCTCAAAAGCAATAATGTACAACATGTAGAGCAGTTGCATATCACATATAACACATTATTATGGAGGTTTAAATAAATGTATTGTAAGTGCCTTTGAACAAAAGCATCAGCCGATTGAATGTAGTGGAACATAGACAAATGAGAATTGTAAACCACTAAATTGCAAAATTCATAATGCTTGATGAATGCCATTCCAGAAGCAGTGTGTGCAAACCTTTAAAAGTTTTCTCTACCTCACATGAAATGGAAATAGTAGTACATTATTTTCTACGGTGTCTTGTGGTTAGTGCCTTGCAGAAGGCCCCTCCCTTAGGATGTTAAATGTACAGTATACTGTAAGCCCATATCATTAGAAATCAGCAGCACATGCACACATACACTCAAGTGTTAGAAGCTCTAAACTGTCTCATAAACTGTAAAATGCGTGTTATAGCCCCTGTGATGGGTGTGTGACTTTGCCTCTGCTTTGACAATGGCATGTTGGAATAAGTTCTCCTATTACCTCTAAAAAGGAATAACCAGGTGAAAACTAACTTGTTTCACTACCCTGGGGAATAACCGAGCTGTAACCTCTGTGGCTGCAAATGAAGCCAACACGGAAGTAACAAAAAAATGCAGTTCCTCAAATGGCCACTTGAGGCTGGCTACAGAAGTGAGTCAATCTCCATAAGCCCTCATAAAAATGCCTAACTTTACAGCGGAAATAAACATGTTCACAGCTGGATGCAAAACATTTTTTTATTGTTTTAGCTAATTTCCCCGTTCATAACAACTGTACGGGTAACAACTGTAAATCAACGCGTCACAATATCGCTGTTAGGGGGGTCTCTTCCCCTTTGAATCAATTTTGCTTTAGCACTGTTCTCTGTGGTTGTGGTTGGGGCTGGTTGGCTTTAACTTAATGATACAATTAATAGGGAAACATACTGCAACTGTCCCTTATAGTCTTATCATAAAAAGGTTAAAAATCACTTGCCGTTTTTCTGCAATCTGCTGGAAGATATACATAAAAGTATAAAAATTACATTTCCTTTCACCACTAGGTGTTTCCGCTTTAGTCACTGGCTAATTTTTAAATTTTTATCCAATAGATGTTGTTATATCAGGGGCCGGGACTCTTATCAGAACAAGTTGAAGTTTTGGAGCCGAATGGACCAATGTAACACCGTCAAGTTTATAATAGCAAACTTATTCTGGTTGTTCTGGCCGGTACTTAGTAAAATATACATACAGTTCAAAAAAAGAATTTTTTTTTAAAATTTTTTTTTATTTTTTATTTTTATCTTTTGTTTTTTTTGTACGGTGTCCCCGCA